TCCCTACAATAGCCTATTAATGACTAATAAGCAATATGATGAGATTGATATGTGTTGACCTTGCAATGCAGTGATACTTACTGGACATGGAGAGCAAGGAGATATAATTGAAAAAAAGTATCTACTCTTCATGCAAAGATTTCAGAAGAAACTGCTGATTACAATCTTGGTTTGTGATATTCCACAGTCCCTGCCACAGGAAGCACTGTTGCCATGGTTATGTTGGCACAATATATGTTTTCTGTGCTGTGAACCATCAGCAGAAACTACAGATATGGCTTGACAAGCAACAGAAAAAAATACTATAAAAAATGTTTGGGTTTATAGTTTGTTTGGCTTTCGAACTCTGTCAGTCCCTTGACTGAAACATCTCAGCCACACAGACAATGGGCCTGTCACACCACAGCAGTGGCAGGCTATAGCACAAAGGTGTGAATAAGCATCTAAGAAACACCTGAAATCAGTATTATCACTCAAAACTTCACCCTCTATCTGCAGCACAGATAACACAGTTATGTATAGGCTGGACATTGCTGGTTTTTACCTGTTCATCACGTACGAACCCCTTTCTCTGAAGTAGTTTAATACCACTCTTTAATGCAGAGATTATAGCAAGGACAGACGTGACAGAACATTTACCTGTTGGGAAAAAGGAGGGGGAAAGTTCAGCCCATATGCTTCTGAGAGGAGTGCCCTACAGGAAGAATATAATGGGCCAAGTAATCCTTGTCTCTGTTGAGCTCTTAGTTTCTAGTATCTAGTACAGTGGTAAATTTTTGTCACTAGGGTTGTCTGTTGAGGGTATTTTGTAGGCGTCCTTTGAAAAGTCACACATGAGAGCCTGTAGAAGGACTGAATTTTTCATAAAATATTTTCTGTCTGGTAACCATGTATGTTTTGACTGTTTGTGTGAATTTATTCTATCGTATGATGTCTGTTTAGTTTCAGCCATGAAATTTCTATGAGGTTATTAGGTGCAGCGGATGTAGTATCTCATATTCTTAGGATTAGTAAAAGTAAACACTGTGTTTTCTCATCCAACCTCCTCCTCCAAATGAAAAGATTCCCTCAGTTGGATACAAAAGAGATTACAAATGTCCATTTTCACTCTACATACATTGCATATGTTATCAGGTAATTAATATAATTTTCTTTTCATATTTTGCAGATAGAAACCAGATTCTCTATATTGAAAGACTGCCTTAGGGCCAGGGAAGTAAAGATGGATCAAAAAAGACATTTAGATGCCAGGAAGCTGATTTCTCAGCTTGTAGGTTTCTGAAAAGAAAGTAGTCCTCTCCCTCTGCATCACTTACTGTTTTGCGTTCCACCATTTGCTTCATCTTTTTTTTACTTCTCTTTATTTTGTCACTTGTCCTTGCTGTAATTGTAGTATATATGTCTCTCACAGGTTAGAAATGGGCATGTTCTTTTGATCGTGTTAGCATGAGTGAAAATAGGAGTGCTATTATAGAGATCAAGAGAAAGGTTCAGCTTTTGCCTGTTTATTTGGCTCAGATTAAACACTCTTTTGTACACTGAGAAACCAGATGCCAGCTCTGAAGAAGCACATTGGCCTTTCAACAATAAACTTTTACAGATCCAGTGTTGTAAATGCAGAGAACAGTGATGCCTTGGTCTGTGGGATAATTTTCCTCTATGCTCTTGCTTGAGTGTGTGTACACAATGATCATGCCCATGTATACACACTGCAGCCCTCAGCCTCATGCAAGTGTTTCCTAAGGTACATGTATAGGATACATCCATGGCAGATGTGATTGATTTTTTCTCCCCAGTTCCAAATTATTTCAGAATGCACACTGTCCAAGCTCTTGAAGTGACCAGACACTGTGTGATAATGTTAACACAGTGCTGAAAGGAATGCACCCTATCTTAGCAAGGTACATTCACTTGAGCTTAATACAGCATTAACATGAAAGTAAGTCTGCTTATAGCTCACAGATGATTGATATATGATACCTTCTATAGTGTAATCACCTATCCTAATGTGGAGAAGGCTTTTGTTCTGTGAATTTAGGCATGTATATGAGAAACATGATTTAGGATTCTCATTGCCTTGTGTTGTACTGCAGATTCTGAAGAGAGCTCGAAAGTTTTCCTCTTAACCTAAATTGAACTTTTGAGGTGCCTATCTTGCTGTAGTCTGTAGTGAGATCCTAGACAAACAACAAAGTTAAATGTCTTTTCTTAGTTGGGATATATCCAGGCATGTGATCTGTTTCCATTTTACAAGTTTTTGTTTGTCTCAGATTAGCAGCCAGCGAGACAGATGTGACCTTGCTTTTTCTTCTCTGGAATTTATTTTATCACAGTAGCATCACCCACCATTTCCTTCTGACTATGTATACAAAGCAGTTAGTTTGAAAACTCTGCTTCCTCCTAGATTGTCTCCTTGTAGTGCTGCAGTCCAGTATTAAACTGTTCAGTTGTGTCAAAATATCTTCCTTCTCTTCTTTAAAATGCAAAGAGCACTAGGTACTTGGGTATTTCCTTCTGCTGCTGTGCTAGCTAGTGTTCTTGTGTAGCCTTAGCTATACCTTTTTTTCACTGGAGAGTGGATGCCAGTGGCACACTGATTTCCAAGTGCCAAGGTGGGTTAAGATAAGGATAGGAAGAGATCAGTCACCAATTACCATCATGGGCAAAACAGACTCGACTCTTGGAAGTTAATTTTATTTCTTGCAAATCAGATGAGAGTAGGCTGATGAGAAATAAAACTGAATCTTAAAACACCTTCCCCCCCCCACCCCTCTTCCCAGGATAAACTTCACTTCTGATTTTCTCTGCCTCCTCCCCTCTGAGGGGCACAGCGGGACGAGAAAAGGGTGTCGCTGTCAGCTAATCACATGTTATATCTGCTGCTCCCTCCTCCTCACTCTCTTCCTCTACTCCAGCATGGGGTCCCACCCATGGGACAGTCCTCCATGACCTTCTGCATAAGTCCTTCCCATGGGCTGTAGTTCTTCACAAACTGCTCCATCATGGGTACTTTCCATATGTCCTTTCCACAAGGCACAGTCCTTCAGGAATGGACTGCTTCAGCGTGGGTCCCCCATGGGGTCACAAGTCCTAGCAACAAACCTGCTCCAGACTGGGCTCCTCTCCATGGGGTCATAGGTCCTGCAAGGAGCCTGCTCCAGCCCAGGATACCCATGAGATGCCATAGCCTCCTTTGGGGATCTATTTGCTTCGTTGTGGGGTTCTCCATGGGCTGCAAGTGGATATCTGCTTCACCATGACCTTCACCACAGACTACAAGGTCTGGATCACCTCCTTATCATCCTTCTTCACTGACCTTGGTGTCTGCACGATTGTTTCTGGCACATCTCATTTCTCTTTTCTGACAGCTGTTGCTCAGCACCTTTTTTCCCCTTCTCAAATGGAATCATAAAATCATAGAATGTATTGGGTTAGAAGGGACCTTTAAAGGTCATCTAGTCCAAATACATTATCCCAGAGGCACTACCACCATCACTGATTGGTTCAGTGTTGAGTCTGTCTTAGAGCCAGCTGACATTGGCTCTGCTGGACATTTTCAGGCATTTTGTCATAGAAGCCACCCCTGCAGCCTCCCCCACTACCAAAACCTTGCCACGCAAACCCAATATAGACAGCCAGCACCTTCTCCTACGTCTGTGTGCTGTCTTCAATTCTTGTTCACATCACAGAATTTGGATGAAATGGGAAATGACCAAAATTAAGGGTACTGATATGTTACTGGAGTTTTCAGTTAATGAAAAGAGATATAGTTTAGTTTATGCATAGCTAGCACATACTAACTTACAGTCTAGTCTGAAGTCATTCACATTTGTTAGTCTGTATAAAATTAGAAAAAAAGGTAGAAAAAGCCAGTGTTTAAGTTTAATTAATTTTCAGCATGAAGTCTGTTCTGTGATGTATCATGTAAATAAATCAGCGAATGTCAATTTCAGTTTGGTGGAATGTTTTGGAGGTGGAATTATAATTGTTTGGGGTTTATTTTTCTTGGTATTTGTTTTAGTTTTGTATCTGTTAAAATTTTAGCCATCATTAGCTTTTGTTCATGTAAAGTGAAATATAACTCTATGTGATTCTACAAAGAGAAGACTTAATATGAATTGAACAGTTATTTCAGTGCTCTGCCAGAAAGGAAATGGTGATACTAGAGAACTCTATTTAAAATTTGAGGTTTTAAACTACTAATAACAGTGGTTAAAACTGCGGGGGAAAAGATCTTGACTTTATTTTCATTATTCATCATTGTCTCTGTAATGGAAGATTAAATCTATAAACACTATTTATTTTATTTATTTTATTTTCATTCTCAAAATTAACAAACAAAGTTATGTGGGTTCTAAATATTTCTTCTGCGGGAATGAAAATGAGTCAATTAATTATGCCTTCGAAGTAAACAAGGTTGTATCCAAGTTTTGTCATTGTCTGGAAGAAACTGTGTCATAATATTGACTGATGAAGAACAATTCCATTTTTTTAGATATTTTGAAATTTAGAAATTTTTCATTTAGCACCAGCTTTTAGAAAAGAATTAATGTGTGGATATTCCTATTATGACTTTCTTTACTAGGTGACTAAATTGCAGATATTGAAAGTGGAGATTCAAGGCTCCATACACTCTGCCTGATTCAGAACAGTATTTTCCATCTCAAATCAGATTTCTGTCAATGTTTGTTCTGTATAAGGCTTTTTACCATAATGGTTAAGTAACAGCTGTGTGTATAAGGTTCTGTCCTTTCTATGGGCTAAGTTAAAAACGGTTTCTATTGAAATTCTATGATAACTGAAATAATTTTACAAAAGAATGCATCTTGCTAAACGAAAATGTTGGTAACATTGCTATTCTTCCTGCTTTCTCTTTTTAAGGCAAGAGATTAAATGCCTATCTGTAAAGATAAAATTATATCTCTACTCAACAAAAATAAAAATTTTGAAAACTGTATTCTACAGGATTGTATAAAAGCCAGGAAGCTCGGCTAATGCTCCACATATATCTCATTAAAGCACCCTCCCATACATCTGTGAGCAAGTTGAAAGAGGAAAAATGGGCTATGGATGGTTTTGTGAGTATTTTTCTGCTACAAAGGAGAGAAAATTATTTTTTATTTTAAATCATGCTGGTGTTTTACACCCAGAAAATCCTAAAACATATCAAATGGAATATTGTTAGCAATGCTGATTCATTAAATTAAATTAAAATTTTGTTATAAGATATAGGAAACTAGACATACTGTGTAGGCACAATGATAATACATGTAAGACAGAAGCTTTTCTCTTACTTCTCTATGAGTTCTATTCCAATATATAGTGAAATTTTATTGTCATGATAACCTTATATCAATTTATAACAATATTAATATAATAGCAATTTTTATTATTAGACCAGCAATCATGTTTTACTTTTTGGTGATATTTTTAGAAATACCATGAAAAATCTGAACTTTTATGTGTATGTACAAAAAAATTAGATTGCTCTAATTAAGCTTCAAGCCCCTTGGATGTCCTAAAATAATTTGGATTATGATGAACACTCATACACTGCCTCATTTTTCAAGGAATCTATCTGTTTCCTTATGTTTCACCTACTGGCACAGCACTACAGGGACACCAATATGTGTGCCTATGCCAAAAGAAGAGAAGAGGCATACATTAAAGTATATGCATAAATTTATATTTTTATAACTTGTCACACCACTTCAATAATAATTTGGAAAAAGGTGTAAAACCAAAAGCAAAGCAAAAAATTCTAAACCACTTAAGCAGTAAATATACTGGTAAATGAGCTTAACTCCTTTGGTTTGTACAGACTTCAGGCTTCATGAGCATGGTCTTGACATGAAAAAAATATGGGATAAGCACCAAGAAAGAACAAAGGATCTAACTGTCAATTGAATGTGAGGTCTTTTTTATTTATTTTTAAAGTAATTATTAAAACTTCGATATTTGCATACTTAGGATTATCTACTATATAGCTTTTGCCATCTGCTTCCTAAACAAATCAAATATTTATGAAGTATGTAAGATACTTAAAAATACTCAATCTTCAATTGACAGAAATTTTACGTTTTGTTTGTTTTAATAAAATAATACAGTTAAAGGTAGCATAACGTTCTATATGTGACCATAAGCCACCATGTCTAAGTTGTGCCTCTAACAGTTCTGTCTTTTCTTTTGGACTTTATAGATTTCAT